CCGGTTCCTCCATCCGTGGCATTACCCAGCACGGTATAGAGATCTTGTTGACGCTCAAAATCTCATTGGTTGGGCAACCTCATGCGGGGACGGATGGCCAAGCAGTGGGCCAAGCACCAGGATGCATATTTGCATCGGGTCGGTTCCAAGGAGACCACCAAAACCGGACAGCTTTGGGTCACCAACCTGGCCTCACTGCTCATCCAGCATGGTGGAACCTGTGGGAAGATCGCAATGCTGCCAGGCATGGCAAAGACAGGGAAGACCAGTGGAAGAAGAAGCACGAACAGCTTCAGCGGGAGTGGAACTCATTTACGAGAAACGGATCTGATCCCAGCGGAGCTTGGTGGATTTTATCTTCAACCGACCGCTTGACGAGCAAATGGCAAAGGGCCCAGGCGACATCAAAGCGTGGCTTGCCAATTGGCTGCCCGTCGTCGACAAGGCACTCAGGCGAGCATGCACGCACCGGCAGACACATGACACAGGGTAACGCACAGAGGGGGTCTTACCGTAGAAATAGATGGCAATCCAGCCAAGGGTAGTTAGTTAGCTGCAAAGCACCCTCCGGAGTTTTTAACTTCTCCGGTGGGGGGTTGCACTAGGCCGGTTCCATGTGGGCGTCCTTGTACGTTTGAGGTACTCCGGTTAAATATGGCTCCGTTCAGCGGGTGTCTATTGAGGTGCAGCCTAAATAATAAACTTCGTATATACAGGGCAACATGGAAACCAAGGGGGTGAAGGCAGGTGTACTTCTTGATGCATTGTAGTAACAATGTCTTCACACCAAAAGATACAGACCTGGGAATTGGACAAAGCAAAACCACGACTGGCTCCCAGCGCAACGGAACCTCAGCGGCGTCCATGTTTGTTGTTGCATGGATCCCTGAAGCAAACAACAGCTCAAGAAATGTTTCGTTCAGGAAGAACAAGGGTGGTACGGCGAATGGAGACAAGAAGAGGTCCAGCGAAGCCGCCGTGGCTCCTGGCCCCTTTGCGGGCAAGGGTGCCTCTGTTGGAGTGCTGATCAAAGGTGAAGGAAACGGGGGATCCGAGGTCCTGCACTCTATTGAACGTGACTACGGCATCAAAAGCCGACTTTTAAGCAAGAAAATTTCATCGCGAAATCTCCGCCAGTACATTGACGCTTCCGGGTTGTCAGCTTGTGTCCATGGCCCCACGCAGGCGCTACTCCCGCATGAGGAACTTCAACGCCGATGAATGGGAGAGTGAAGCCCATGTGAATGCTGATGCGTTTTTGTTATGTTGTCCGTGTGGAAGAAACCGAAGATTACTTGTCGACCAAACGATACCCCGATTGGGAGAGAGACTTGTGCGGCATTGAAAGGCTCCTTCGCACTCCTTCTCTGGTCGAGAATCCCCAGAAGCCTCTCTTGCTCCTTGTCAGCAACGACGAAGAAGATGAACTCGATGTGGAGCGCTTGGTCAACCTCTTCGGGCTGACCGGTGCGAACTTTCGTCGTCCGTTCCGTGCTGTGTTGTCCGATAGCAAGGGAAATGACGGCACCCTCCTTGAGGCTATCCAATGGCTCACCAAAACAGCCCGCTCCTCGCATGACGAAGGCACTGCCATGACTGGGAGTGATACAGAAGAGGAGAGTTCCATCCTCACATCCGCTACTGCTGGAACTGGCGCAACATTGGCTTCTTCTTCTGTTGGCGGTCATTTCGTGATGGATTATGAACCCACTCTGTTGGGCGGCAATCCGACCCTCCAGCGCTTCGAACCCATCAAGAAGAGTACCCATTGTCCCTTTGCTCATGCCGCCAAGTTGTGGGGCGGCAAGTTGCCGCATCGACCCGCTCCAGGAAGCCGCCTCCTTGAACGCGGGTCCCTTGGCCGAGTTTGCGGCCGGCTCCAAAAACGGCGAAGTGCTGGATGGGTTCTGTTTGGAGATTCCAGAGGCGCGCTATAGCATTTCGGTGGAGCGGCTCGGCGAAATGGTTCGCGTCCTCTTGACGAAACTGGCTGCATTGGACCCTTCTCCGGAAAAGCAGAATGCCTTCAAGATGGGTCCTGTCGATGAGCCGCATTGGCGCTTTTGCTTTGCTCGGGAGGACTCCTTTCTAACCACCTTCTCGCCAACCTACCGAAAGGATTCTTCTCGATATGCCTTTGAGACGTCGCACAGTTTCATTTTGTTTCAACCCTTGACTTCCTTTGGGCGACATGGGTTGACCGAGGATACTCCTGCTTCTGCCACCAACTGGAAAAATCCCACTAGCATGCGTGACAAGGCTCGTGTCGCGTTCAAGGAGAATGGCTGTCCGTACCATATTCCTGAAGAATTGCCATACCCAGTGGTGGAGCACATCGTCAAGCCGAAAAAGGATGACGGGACAAGCTGCGTTCGTTGGTGGGAGCCCCTTGAGCCTTGAGCATGGGCCGTAACGCGACAGAAGACATCCAGGCCCGGCTGAAAATCCTCAATTTTGCTGTCATCAGAAAGCCTTATCCCAAAATGCTGCGCTTATACCAGGTCCTGAAGTGTCCCCACTGAATGCGGAAGCCAACATGTTCTACGAGCATCTTCCTTTCGAGTGTGGGTTACTGCTTGGAGACACTTTCTTCAAGATGTCGATGCAAGGAACCAAGGGAGTTTTAGGTCTAAAGTGTTACGGGGGTCCTTATATCCAATTCAATCACAAGAATTGCTATGCACCACCAGAAAAACCTCACTTTTGCTTTGCAGCTTAATCTAAAACCAAATTACTCCCCAATAAGCTGCAGTTCAACACCAGGGTTCTGAAAGGGTCCCCACTGAATCGGCGGGAAGCCAACATGTTCTACCGCAGCATCTTCCTTTCGAGTGTGGGTTACTGCTTGGAGACCACTTTCTTCAAGGATGTCGATCTCGATAAAATTGAGTCGGCTCCACGCCGAGCTGTACTTCAGAAGACGGGTTATCGAGCGAATACTGCGAAAGTTCCTGGAAATTGGGGGGTATTGAAATGTTTCGACTCCCTGACAAGCAGGGAATCGGGGTCATCCAGCAGTTCTTAAAGCACTGGAGGACTAGGTGCACTGACATCGGAGATCTCAGTGAAGTCACATATGCATGGTTGCAATTCCATGCCGGAATTGGCAGGCCCATCCTTGAGGATCTCGACATCGATTGCCATCTCCCAGTCGGACTGTTTCAATGCATGCGAAGGTTCCTTCAATCCGTTAGAGGCACGATTGAAGTGCACAACGCTCACATTCCGCCGTTGCAGCGCGAGCACGACTCCTACATTATGGATTGGGTGGGGTGGTATGGGAATTTCTCCGAGGCAGACCTGAAACGGATCAACTATGTGCGTCTTTACTTTCAAGTTGTCTCGGTAGCTGACATCGCCACGGCATGTGGCACATACATCCGGGAGGAGTTCTGGCATGGCTTTTCCAGTCCTCTGATGCCTCGCACCACCTACTTCAAGAGGTTTCAAGAACGACCCAAGGATCCAAGGACTTGGTGGTTGTGGAGGAAAGCGTTATCCCTCTTCGCTCCGAATCTGACATTGGATGTACCCCTGGGGAGGTGGCTCGTCTCTGCTGACAAGCTCCGCATGAGACACAGGTTCTTCTACGAGGTTGATGCCAACGTTGTCTATCAACAAGTTGACAATGAAGAGTCCGAATTCTGGATGTTCCAACATCCAGTCCCGAACAAGGAACGGACAGTTCATCGCTGGGAGTTCGAAGACGAGACCTACCTATCACTTTGAAGACCGGTTCCTCCATCCGTGGCATTACCCAGCACGGTATAGAGATCTTGTTGACGCTCAAAATCTCATTGGTTGGGACAACCTCATGCGGGGACGGATGGCCAAGCAGTGGGCCAAGCACCAGGATGCATATTTGCATCGGGTCGGTTCCAAGGAGACCACCAAAACCGGACAGCTTTGGGTCACCAACCTGGCCTCACTGCTCATCCAGCAGTGGTGGAACCTGTGGGAAGATCGCAATGCTGCCAGGCATGGCAAAGACAGGGAAGACCAGTGGAAGAAGAAGCACGAACAGCTTCAGCGGGAGGTGGAACTCATTTACGAGAAAGCGGATCTGATCCCAGCGGAGCTGGTGGATTTTATCTTCAAGCGACCGCTTGACGAGCAAATGGCAAAGGGCCCAGGCGACATCAAAGCGTGGCTTGCCAATTGGCTGCCCGTCGTCGACAAGGCACTCAGGGACGAGCATGCACGCACCGTGCAGAACACTGACACAGGGTAGCTACGCACAGAGGGGGTCTTACCGTAGAAATAGATGGCAATCCAGCCAAGGGTAGTTAGTTAGCTGCAAAGCACCCTTCGGAGTTTTAAACTTCTCCGGTGGGGGGCTTGCACTAGGCCGGTTCCTATGTGGGCGTCCTTGTACGTCTGAGGTACTCCGGTTCAATATGGCTCCGTTCAGCGGGTGATCTATTGAGGTGCAGCCTAAATAATAAAACTTCGTTATATACAGGGCAACATGGAAACCAAGGAAAGGGGTGAAGGCAGGTGTACTTCTTGATGCATTGTAGTAACAATGTCTTCACACCAAAAGATACAGACCTGGGAATTGGACAAAGCAAAACCACGACTGGCTCCCAGCGCAACGGAACCTCAGCGGCGTCCATGTTTGTTGTTGCATGGATCCCTGAAGCAAACAACAGCTCAAGAAATGTTTCGTTCAGGAAGAACAAGGGTGGTACGGCGAATGGAGACAAGAAGAGGTCCAGCGAAGCCGCCGTGGCTCCTGGCCCCTTTGCGGGCAAGGGTGCCTCTGTTGGAGTGCTGATCAAAGGTGAAGGAAACGGGGGATCCGAGGTCCTGCACTCTATTGAACGTGACTACGGCATCAAAAGCCGACTTTTAAGCAAGAAAATTTCATCGCGAAATCTCCGCCAGTACATTGACGCTTCCGGGTTGTCAGCTTGTGTCCATGGCCCCACGCAGGCGCTACTCCCGCATGAGGAACTTCAACGCCGATGAATGGGAGAGTGAAGCCCATGTGAATGCTGATGCGTTTTTGTTATGTTGTCCGTGTGGAAGAAACCGAAGATTACTTGTCGACCAAACGATACCCCGATTGGGAGAGAGACTTGTGCGGCATTGAAAGGCTCCTTCGCACTCCTTCTCTGGTCGAGAATCCCCAGAAGCCTCTCTTGCTCCTTGTCAGCAACGACGAAGAAGATGAACTCGATGTGGAGCGCTTGGTCAACCTCTTCGGGCTGACCGGTGCGAACTTTCGTCGTCCGTTCCGTGCTGTGTTGTCCGATAGCAAGGGAAATGACGGCACCCTCCTTGAGGCTATCCAATGGCTCACCAAAACAGCCCGCTCCTCGCATGACGAAGGCACTGCCATGACTGGGAGTGATACAGAAGAGGAGAGTTCCATCCTCACATCCGCTACTGCTGGAACTGGCGCAACATTGGCTTCTTCTTCTGTTGGCGGTCATTTCGTGATGGATTATGAACCCACTCTGTTGGGCGGCAATCCGACCCTCCAGCGCTTCGAACCCATCAAGAAGAGTACCCATTGTCCCTTTGCTCATGCCGCCAAGTTGTGGGGCGGCAAGTTGCCGCATCGACCCGCTCCAGGAAGCCGCCTCCTTGAACGCGGGTCCCTTGGCCGAGTTTGCGGCCGGCTCCAAAAACGGCGAAGTGCTGGATGGGTTCTGTTTGGAGATTCCAGAGGCGCGCTATAGCATTTCGGTGGAGCGGCTCGGCGAAATGGTTCGCGTCCTCTTGACGAAACTGGCTGCATTGGACCCTTCTCCGGAAAAGCAGAATGCCTTCAAGATGGGTCCTGTCGATGAGCCGCATTGGCGCTTTTGCTTTGCTCGGGAGGACTCCTTTCTAACCACCTTCTCGCCAACCTACCGAAAGGATTCTTCTCGATATGCCTTTGAGACGTCGCACAGTTTCATTTTGTTTCAACCCTTGACTTCCTTTGGGCGACATGGGTTGACCGAGGATACTCCTGCTTCTGCCACCAACTGGAAAAATCCCACTAGCATGCGTGACAAGGCTCGTGTCGCGTTCAAGGAGAATGGCTGTCCGTACCATATTCCTGAAGAATTGCCATACCCAGTGGTGGAGCACATCGTCAAGCCGAAAAAGGATGACGGGACAAGCTGCGTTCGTTGGTGGGAGCCCCTTGAGCCTTGAGCATGGGCCGTAACGCGACAGAAGACATCCCCCAATACCGCACACCCGACACCGTACCGGTATGCTGGTGGAGCTCTAGAGCTAGTGCTCAGTACTCAAAGATGCTGAGACATAAATTGGGTTACTAGTGTGTCGTGCACTGTTTATTCTCTACGGAGTGCTTGGGAAATTTCGTTATCGTTAGTGCGTGTTCGAGTACGGCATGACGGCTTCGGTGGTAATTGTGCGGGGTCGGTCGGAAATCGACTCGTTTGTACTCAAGGACTGGGGGAGCCTCAGAGAAGCTCATGGTGGGGCCAACGACGAACACGAAAACAGGTAGGAATAATGGCTTGCTCGTTGTTCTGCTCTTGCCCTTTTTCCCACCTTCAACAAGGCATTGAACAAACCGAACGCAAGCTTGGGGTGTTCGTCATTTAGCTTCTTGAAGCTTGCTTCGTCGGGCAGAAACGGAGCAATATCTGCAACATTTTCGAGCAGGAAATCTTCAATTACCTTGACCATCGTGGCGCTGTGGAGACTCACAGCTTGATTGTACAATGTATGAGCATTGTGCATGTTCAAGTTGCTTTTGATGAACCGCTGGGCGTCCTTGAGCAATTGCCGAACGTCAAAGTAGTCAGCCAGCGAGTGCAAAGCCGTAACATCTTCAATCGCCGGACGGAATACCGGCTGCAACTTGTAGATGTAGTCAAGCAGCTGAAGGCTGGAACTGATCATCCATTTGACACAGTTCCAGGGCACAGTCGGGGCTGATACAAGGCATGGCTTGGACACTGGACAAACCCCGAAAGGTTTCGGCATCCATAGTGTTACGGTGAAATTTCGTATGGGCAGCAATCAGCTTGCTCAAGTGACAAGTGGGACAGACATCTTGTGTGTCGGCAGTTGTATTCTTTGAAGCATGCTTGGCCACATGTCTCCAAAACGGTGCATCAGCCACATGAACAATGGCAGTATCCAGAGCAATGCTGGTAATGGTCTGTCCCACAAACTCTTGCACAGTCTCCATAATGGCTTGTCCAGCAAAAGTTTGAATCTGAAGCCATGCTTTCTCGTAGTACAGGTGCACATTAGCAGGGGTCATGTCCCGACGATAAAACTCCTTGACGTCTCGAACCAAGCTTGGAATTTCCAAATAGTCTCCCAATCAAAGCAAGACCGTGGCAGTGTGCGAGTCCACCTAAAGGGGTTGGTTGTATAGGTAACAATCGAGGAGCACGGGAAAAACTTGAGCTGCCGGTGGTTCCAATTCGATGCAACTGGTACAAGTGGCTCCTTCTTCAAAGCTGCTGCGAATCATGTGGCAAAAGTACTTGCTCTTCCGGGGACCGCATCCCAGCATCATCTTGTGCAAATGGTAGGTCGTCGCAGGGCCATCTGAGGATGTGACGACGATTTTCCAGTCGCTAAAGGTAGTGTCGGGGTCTCCCCGCCACAGAGCCCACTTGTCCGTTGCAGTGGAGTTGGATGATCGCATCATTTTCTTCTCGTCTTTTGCTGATTCTGAGAACTGAAAAATGCCATCAGAAAGGAGAGTATCAGCTATCAACCTCGCTTGGATCTTGCCAAAAATAGCCGAGAGAAACCTCTATTGCGAAACCCTGACATCAGCGGTTTAACAACAAAGAGCACACGCAAAGCGATGCAGCAACCGCATCCTATAACAATGACTTGACAAAGTCAAGATGTCAAGATTGTACCATAGAATTGTCTGGAGCATCAGCAACACGTCAGACTTACCTGTTTAGACATACATCATGCCAGTGAGCAGCTCCTGAGCTCATCCAGAGACTAACCAGAGACAGCTCCAGAGACACAAGTTGCCTTGCCTTTGGGCTCCAGGCTCCAGGATACCCGCTTTCTCAAGAGAAGAAGGCGCACTTCGCGGATCTTAATTCCGAGATGCTTCCCAACGGAATCTTTCTCACCATAAGAAGGCGCACCTCGCGGAATATTAAGTCTGTAGTTTCCTCTCTCACCTACTGTACCTGTGCCGTACAGTAAGAAGGTGCACTTCGAATCATAAGTCCGTAGTACCTGGTACCGGTACCGTTTGGTGCAGAGGCGGCAGTTCTTTTTTTATTTAAAGACAAGATAGATCTTCAACGTTGCTTTCCATCACATCAAAGCTCTGCCCCGCTCCACCTCAACAATAAAGAAGTATGGGAAAGGTGCTCCTGTCCTCACTCTCAGCACTCAACCTGCACTGTAGAGCCACGTAAATGAATGGGTTGCTTTGCATGAAGACTGGAGCACCCACCGCAAAGAATAAAAGGAGAATTGTTGACTTGATGGCCACCATAAGAATGAAATTCTTGTTCGTAGTCAGTCAACAAGTCAATACAGTAGTAGAGTAGATGGCGCTTGTTCCTTTTGTACTAGCACTAGAGCAGGAGCCTTGTTCCTTGTTGTTGGGGTATGTGCAAGGTGGGTATGGATTAACGAGGAACGTAAAAAGATCTGATCTGTTTTTTTCGTACGCCAATGTGCAGATTAGGAAATAGAGCTACACGAATCTTCGGTTATTGAGACGAGGAGTGATTTTGCCGGTTTCATCCTTTGTAGACGAAGACATAATGTACATCGCTGTCTCTGGTTCCCAAGAGTTGGTCACGTAATCGGCTATGGCGCAAGCTACCCTGGTACGGGGGATTCGTGTCATACTGACACATTTTTTCTGTTTCCAAACTTGGGTTCAGACGGCTGAGTGACCCTGGAACTAAAGCTGCGTCCTTCCATCTCCCAGTAGAACGGTTCTTCAAGGGTTTGAACTTGTGTAGTTCTGCTGTCATCTCTTGCAGCTCCTTAGTTTTTGTGCTCAAAGCATCCTGTGCTGATGAGAGCTCCTGCCGCACTGACCATAGACTGGACCAGTTAGATTGTAAGGTAGATTGCAACGTGGATTTGGTCGTCGACAACTGCTGTTGTGTTGAAGAAAGAGAAGCCTGACTACTGGCGAGCTTTGTGTTGGCATCCTTCAGGGACTTCAACAACAAGTCAACCAAGAATGTGGGTTGACGGTCTTGCAAAAGCCTCACAGTCGTGTCACTGGGTGACACCAAGGACTGCCAGTTCTGTGCCAGAGAATCAGAGCATCGCTCCTGAAGCTTGGATAGTTCTTTTGTGGAATCCTTGGCAGCCTTGTCTTCCAGCACACAGAGTGTAAGAGCAGCATTCGCTTCAATCAGAGGAGTGATTTCAAGGCGTGTTAAAGCCTGAAATGTTTCCAGATCCAAGGCATCAGGATTGTGCTGAACAAACTTGGCCATGAGCTTGCTGATGTGCCTACTAGTCTCTGGAGTCTTGGGGCTGTGCTCCAAAGCATTGATCCACAAATCTGGGCTTGAGATTAGCAGAATGTTGGCTGATTCAGCAATCTTCAGGATGTTCTCTCCCAAGAACTTGGCTAGGATGCCCAGTGTTAGTTGCTCTAAGCTCTCTTAGTTGTTACTGTTGTCTATTGAGATACTACTGAAAAAGTGGGTTCCTTAGCTTTTTCTACTGGCATCAAATTCTAGTACAGAGGTACAGGTTGAATCCCTGATCGCGAATCCCCAACACACTCCTGTGGTCGTCGAGCTTGTCCTAGTCGTCGACCATGCTTACTTACTTACTCCGCTTAGCGCTCCTTCTTTGAACGGACCTCCTTGTCCGACCGTGACCCTCCTTCTGAGTGCCCTGGCTCTGAGTGTTCTACAACACCCATCAACTTGTCCACGTTCTGTTTGAACAGTCGACCTTGGTTCGGCTTCGTCCAGAAGTCCGCAACCAT